CAATTGCAAGGAAGTCACACGCGAGAGAGCGATTCCTGCATCAGTTGTGAGGATGTCCCACGCAAGAGCGCGACTTCTCAACACATTGTAAGAACATATCAGGCGGGAGCCGTCGTTGTTGTAGTTCGGGGCCAAACAACGCAGCTTGGTGACCCCACACTTTCTTTGTTAAAAAAGATGCGATCCCCGAGAGGAGCACTGAAAAACAACAACGGTCGCTGGGAAAGGGGACCAGCACTAATTAGTATCATCCCAACCAGTGTGATCTCGCACTGCACTATTTAGACCGACCGTGCATGGATGTGCTGGGATGTATCGGTGTACTACCTCGGTGTGCTGGGGTCCATGTGTTGGGACCGGTGTGCTGAAATGTGTCGGAAGTACTGGGGTGTGGGCTGGGGGCTGGGGTGCATGCTGTGATGTGCTGGCGCACGTGCTTGCCGTGGCCCCCCCCTGGATGTGCTGGGATGCGTGCTGGCATGTGACGGTGTGCGCTGGGGGTGCTGGGATGTGCAGGTCTTGGCGCCTCCCCCCCCCCCCGCCACGTGTCCCGTTACTTCGGCCGTCCGTGCCCCCCCCCCCCCCCTGCCCTCGTGGCCCCTTTCCCCTCCATTCCGAGGGACCGCGCTCCCCCCTCCCCTGCTGCCCGACCGTGGCCCCCCGCTCCCCCCCCGCCCGCCCTCGGACCGCGCCCCGCCCCCCCCCCGCTGCTCCCGACCGTGGCCCCCCGCCCCTCCCCCCACTCGTGTACTCCGGCCGACCGCGGCCCCCCTCTCGTGCGGGAGGGCAGCCATCGTGCTGGAAGAGGGGGCTGCAGAGATACGGGGCACGACGGTGCAACTAGCCTAGGTCGGGCATGTCCCCTCACAGGCGGACTCTGGACGAAAGCTTTAAAACAGTCAAACATTCTCCAAAAGTATCCAAAATGATAAAAAATCGTCCTCCTACGATTTTTGGATAATTGTTGAATGCTCCTCCTGTAGAGGGGCTTGCCCGATGTAACATCAGCCCGCGATACTACGGACGACCTGACCATTTCTCCCAACCGCGTCCTCTCGCTCAGGGCTTCGCCACTTCACCCGTCCCTCGACTCGCGCTTTGGAGCGGCCACGACTTGCTACACATCTCTGGGCATATGTGTATTGACGGGGATCTCCTCGGATGTTCCTGATTCATCGTCATCTGCCTTGAATTATCTGGCTCGATCCCCACAGGGCGATTGGCGAGATGTCGCCAAGCACACAGATGTCGCCCCAGCCCGACGATGAACGGCTTTGTGTAGAAGCGGGGGCATCGACGATGCCTCGGCGACGTCGGCGACGGGTCAGCCACGTCGGCGTCGAGACAGTCGGGCTCCACATCGAGCCGCATCGGCGACGCGGCGAAACCCTCCGAGCCCATCCACTCAGACGACATCTGGGAGGCCTACATATCTGACCATTCCTCCCGAGCCCATCCTCCCAGGTGAACGTTATTTTTTATTCGGCGCTTCGAAATAGGGCGGAAGGGGGGGAGGGGGGGACCTCTGGACCACTGCTCAGCGCGACTGCTTGCAACAGTGCGTCGTATGGGGAAGACTCCACCTGCTTGAAACTGGCGCCACAAACAGCCACGATCTACTCCGTGGGAAGGGGGATGGGGACGGGGGGTGTGAGGGCCCGCGCCGGTTGGAATAAACAATGACCAACAAAACGACAACCAACTCGAAAACTGCCTCTGTGAAGAAGCGGGAGCGCCGTTTTGGACGCCCGAAATGGGTACGGAAAACATGGGTACAATGCCCAACAACAAATGTTGCCCCAAACCAGCAGCGGCCGCTGTTGAGCAGGCGGCCGTCTGCCTCAAATGGACACGGGCCGCGGCGGCGCGGACAGCGAGTCCTGTTCAATCGGCGATGCACAAATCTCCATTTAGTAAACCTCCCTTTTGTGAAAACGGCCTCGGACCGAAACCGACGGACCTGGACCCGCAGAAATGACGGCCGCGACGCCCTCTCGCGAGCCGAAAACGGCCAATTCGCTAATCGACGCGTCAGGGTAGGAGGTCTATGCACCCCCGATACTCCCTGGACCTCTCCTGGGGTGCGTTCTGACCAGAAGTCCGAGGCGAAGCCAGCGGTGGCGACGAGGGCCGCCCAGGAGGCCGCAAAAAAAGGGAAAACGGGGAGAAACATTGGCGGTATGGGTACCTGTTCCTACCATGACTCTTCTCCCCCCTTCGTTCAGGTCGGGCATGTCCACCCCCGATCCACGTGAACAGGATCTGCTGCTGGGCATCGTACCCATTCTTTGCGTACCCGTTTCGTTCGTGCCGAACGGTCGGGCCGTCCTCCTGCGCGCGGGCCTTGTGCGCCCGGTAGTCCTCGGTGTACTTCGCCTTGCACTCCCTGCGGCGGCGGGCCGCCGCGGAGGGGGGGGGCGGGCCCCGGCCCCGGGCTCGAGGAGCAGTGGGCCGAGGGCCTTTTGCCTCCCTCCTCCCCTTCCCCTCCCCTTCCCCTCCC